GGTGCGGCAGCGGTCCTGGCGTTGCCACTAGCAGAAGTGTAGTCACCCTAACCTGGCTGACGCGTTGTCTTCCCCCTCCTCTTCCGGCTGCACCGAGTGTGCACGCACCAAGCCAGTCAGCCAGCACAACGAGTACCGTTTGTTCTGCACTCTCCATTGCATTTAGAGGAGTACTGTTGAGACCGTAGACATTTACAAGAAGATGACGAGCAATCCGCCCTTCTCTGGATCCGGATCCACCCCGATCCGATCGACCAGCACAGTTAGCACAATCATGCCAGCAACCTCTGCAGCTGGTAGCTTTACGGAGAATAGACAGGCTCTAATGAGCAAAGCTAACTTTCCTTCTCCCTTCCCTCCTCACTCTGTTTCCGCTCCGTTCGCCTTTCCGATGGATGGATATCCGGCCCTGCTACCCGGAAACTCATTCGCTTCCTCCTACGCCTCCAATGCGACCTCCATCCCGGTGTCCGGTATGATGGAACATTGGTCTACAACTCTGCTCGCCGCGCAGGCCCTCTCGAGGACTAAAAAGATTTTCATTGGCGGAGTAGCAACATCCACCACGGAGGAGGAACTGCTCAACTACTTCTCCGCTTTTGGCACTGTAAGTACTTCCCTTGGGTCTTTTACCGTAGGTCCACCTATGGACAAATACTTAAGTGTGTCATAACGGCTGGCGTCAGTTTTACCGGATGAAAACCAGTTGTTTGCTATGTACGACTGACCCTGATAATTGTTTTTATTGTGTTTCAAAGTCAACGATTGTCGTGCTTTAAAACACTGTTCGGTTGATTATTTACACAAACGCGAAACGTTCTTCAGTTTAAACGAAAACAGTGGTCGGCCGGAAGTCTCACAACAATTGATCTCCTGTAAATACGACAAAACCAAGTAGGTTAAACCAGAAATCACAACCTATATTGGTTATTAATGGTATTGACGTTTGAACTGTCAGTTCTTTGGACTCGGTTCGCCAGGCTGCGGATTGTTCGACAGCAGCCAATAACGTATTTGTACAAGCACACTCGTTGTGACTCGTAACAGTGTCACGGGGCGTGTTTACTTGAATGCAGGACGTGCGGATCATTCGATCGAATGGTAGTGCCGCGTATAGGAAAACAACCAAGAAGATCGCGCAATCTAGGATTTAACTATCACGCATCCAGTAGAGGAGTCGCATGTCCAAACCCTAAAACCGAAAAGCCCCATTTAAACTTGTCGAGCCATCTGCGTATATGCGGTCAGCATAACTTGCCCACTGCGTGCCATCAATGCCATCAGCTTCTCTGGGAACAATACGGCTGCATCGTCGTCTCTTAAACTTTACAAAAGCAGCTCAGAAGGAAAGTCTTACCCTTTCCTACCCCTTTTGCATTCTCAATTTCGTAGCTCCTCATATCTAGGAAGAGAGAGACTGAACGGACGACAAACGATTTTCAATTTTGATAAATGGTCGTTAATTCACTGTCTGCATTTCCCATGCTCGCATTCTGAGCATCCCCGCTTCGGATGATTTCGTCATTAGCCTACGACCAGCCGTAATTGGCTTGTCGCGAAAACGAATGACCTAAACGACACTTTCCTATTCTGAGCAGGAATGCAGTTGCGCAGACAGTTTGCGGAATTGTATGTCTCAAAAACCGAGGTTATCATTATTGTTCAGACTCCGTCCTTTTGGTAGCCAACGGCATTCTGATAAATACAGTTATTATGCAGATTTCCGACAGTGATTGCAGGTCATTGACCAGTGACAAATTCCAGGTTGCCATAGTTAGCATACGTTCTGATGGTTAGTGTAATTGGGGCAGAGGGCGAATGCCGACCATTCATTTCGCTTTCAGTTCTCGTGAAAGTTCATATCCAAAAATATGTAGACTAGGATAAACATTCCACTTTCCGCAGATTTCTTTATGAGTAAATATCCACTGTGCATATCCCTTTTGACAAAGTTTAGCAAAGACTAACCGAACCGCGGAAGACGGTCCGACCACAGACTGGTGTATTCAACGGAGCATCAATTTCTCTTTTATGCCAAAGATACAAAAAAGATTGCATAGTCCTCTTTCATTGCCCAATGCGTGTAATGCATGTACAAGGAAAGTAATAATACTCAAAGGTATAGATACAGCCTTAACGGATATCAGGCGAAACACCCAGACGGCTGCTTAAAAGCCAGAGAAGGTGATTGACTGTGTCTGCCAATAAGTGAACCCCTTTCGCAGCCAAACCTTCATCCCATCTCAAACGCACGCAGAGTATATAGATACTAGTCGTTCCCATAAACGTTAGCGTCTTCCCCTCCTAGCTTATCCGCAAATCTCATACTTGATCAGGCATCCAATTCTGTCTTGACATGCGGACATGACGCGGCCCCTTATGGCTCGCCAATGCATGCCAGCGTCTCGATTTCAGCCTCATCCGCTCTATCCGCCGTCGTTCCAACGGTGACTCCCTAATGTGAAGTGCATTGGTGTCCGTTTTGTCGGCGACTGTCCTAAATCCTCTTTAATAGAGTTCAGTGACGAGGGAGGAAAGCATCACGTTCAGAGCACTAATTATATCGCTTAGCCCACCTTCCTCGAAAGTCCACCCTCGTCGGGAAGCTTGCGCGTTTATGCGTCTTGATCGGGATGTAGCAAAACAGTTGGGTTGAGTGACCGCCATTTTGCCCCACGTATCTTTGTTCATTGTGAAGGAGTTTAATACATTAACTACAACCGACAAAACTGGGAACCCGTAGACTGGAGGTAGTGTCTTGAAAACAATGACCGAAGGTCCCGAGTTCAAATCTCGGGGGTGCCAACCCTCGAGAT